GATAGATCAAACGACCAACCAAATGCCGATAACGTTCTGGATTAGGAAGAGGATGCTCAGTGGCCAAAGACAACTGGTGATTCTGCTCTATTGGAAAACCAGCTGGTTTAGCACCCAACAGACCCACCTCAGAAATAATATCCAAGGCATACTTACGCTGACAAAGAAAAATGCCAGAGGAATTACGAGCCACCTCGATACCTAAAAATATTTAAGAACCTTTAGGTCTTTCATATGGAAACAACTGCTCAAGTAATCCTTGAAAGATTGAACGAAACGACTATCATTGCCAGAAATAATGAGATCATCCACATACACCAAAACAGTAAGCTAAACAGAACCACGTCGGAAAAGAAAAAGGAAATAATCAGAGGAGGATTGCTGAAAACTATACCGACGTAGAGCATTAGCCAACTTGGCAAACCAGCAACGAGGAGCCTGGCACAGCCCATAAAGAGACTGATGAAGCCTACAAACACCACCAGGCACAGGGGAAGAAAAACCAGGAGGCAATTTCATATAAACCTCTTCAGCAAGATCACCATGGAGAAAAACGTTGTGAACATCCATCTGATGAAGTTCCCAACCTTTGGCTGCAGCTACCGTAAGTAGAGTACGAACGGTCACCATCTTCGCAACGGGTCAAAGGTTTCATTTTAATCAAGACCTTCGACCTGTCGATTGCCTAAGATGACCAAGCGAGCCTTGTAACGTTCAACAGATTCATCAGAATGATACTTGATTTTGAACACCCACTTGCACCCAATAGCACGTTTCCCCGGTGGAAGAGAATCAACCGCCCAAGTGCCATTGGATTCCAATGCTTGAATATCCTGGTGCATAGCATCGCGCCACTTTGCATTCTTAACAGCCTTCGAAAAAGACTGAGGTTCAACCCCTACAGTGATGCTAGCCAAAAATGCTCGATGGGATGAAGAAAAAGAAGCACAATTGACATAATGATGAATGGGATAGGACGCACCTGAGGAAACTGATGAAGAGAATAAAGCAAGAGAAGGGCTTAAAGAAGTAACAGTAGTGCCAAGAAAATCATTTAACCGAGTGGAACGATATTTAATCCGATGTCCACGACCCAGTAGTTCTTCCTGTTGCTCAGAAGATGGTGAACCCCCCTTGCTGGTGAGGGGTCAGAATGAGAATCAGAGATGACATTATCATCGGAAGAGATTGGAATAGAAGATGGACCAGACACTACTGAAGAATCGATAACAGGACCAAGGGAAAAATCATTCTCATCATCAATAAAAGGAGGAGATTCAAGAGACGGAGATTGGGAAATAGCTGGAGTGGGATTCACATAGGAAAATTCTGACTCAGAAAAAATCACATCCCGAGAAACCAAAAAATCACCAGTCTTTAAATCATACACCCGCCAACCTTTCTTGCCAAAAGGATACCCTACAAATAAACACTTCCTACTACGACTGGAAAATTTATCACCATGCCGATTCTGGTTGTGCACATAACACAAGCATCCAAAAACATGTAAATGAGAGAGAGACGGCGGGCGACCATACAAAATTTCAACAGGAGTCTTGCCATGTAAGATACTCGAAGGGGTGCGATTAATCAAATAATCGGCAGCTAAAACACATTCTCCCCAAAATTCAATAGGTAAGTTGGCCTGGAAACGTAAAGCACGAGCCACATTTAAAATATGTCTGTGTTTACGTTCCACTCGACCATTCTGTTGAGGAGTGCCCACACAAGAGGTTTCATGCAAAATACCATGGGCACAAAAATAATCAGTCATACAAAGGAATTCAGCACCATTGTCATTACGAACATTTTTGACTGATTTCTTAAACTGACGCGCAACCATAGCAAAGAAATTGCGCAAAGTAAGAGAAACCTCCTTCTTATCAACCAACAAATAAAGCCAGGTAGCTCGAGAAAAATCATCAACAATCGTCAAAAAATATCTAGCACCCGAAAAAGTGGGAACACGATATGGACCCCACAAATCACAATGTATCAATTGAAACACTTCAACAATTTTAGTAGAACTAACTGGAAAAGAGGTTCGAGACTGTTTGGCCCTAAAACAAACATCACAGGCCTTATTTAAAAACTGACTATCCTTGGAAGAACCCACAGAAGGAAGCAATTCTAGCACCTTAGAGGACGGATGCCCAAGACGTTGATGCCAGAGATCAAATGAAGGTACCCTAGTAGATGACAAAGCAGTGACAGTCTCCACATCCCGAAAGAAGTAAAGCCCCTCCCGTTGCTCACCCACTCCAATCAACATCCTCAAAGTGACGTCCTGGATAACACAAACACCAGAAGTAAAATGAGCAACAGAAGCGGTATCTTTCAATAATTGAGAAACCGAAATTAAATGACATTTCAAACTAGGCACATAGAGCACATTCTGTAGGGTCACTCGCCTACTAAGCACCACTGTTCCGGCGTGGCGTACGTATGTTTGCCATTTGGAAGCTGAACCAGAACCCCAATAATATCACGAACATTATCAAAATAATCAAGAAAACCGGTCATATGTCGTGTAGCCCCCGAGTCATACAGCCATAATTCAAAGATACGCTTACCGGACAATTTGGGACTAGAGCTAGACTTGGCCGAATTCAACAATGAAATAAGGGTGTTCCATTGATCCGAATTAGGCCAGTGACTGCAGCAGCTTGTGCACCAAGATCAGCACCTGAAGACACCATTGTGTGGGCAGAAACGGAGGAAAAAGCAAGACTACCACCGCCACCAGACCCTGCATTACTGCCGTGTCCAGAACCACCATTGCCGCGTCCTTGACCAAGCCTCGAACCACGTCCACATGAAGACCAACCTTCCGGGTAGCCAATGAATTTATAGCATGACTGAATTTCATGGCCTGGGCGCTTGCAGTGAGAACAAAACACGGTCTGATCACCAGAGCCTGCCGGAGCTTTTGAACTTCCACGGTCCTGAGATTTACCGCCGGCTGAAGCTGCAAACGAAACCACTTCATGACTGGAAGTCGTCGGAGAAAGAGAGACAGCAGGAGTCTGCACCACGAAGCTCATCATCTCGGCGGGAATCTCCTTGGATTGCGAAATTAGCCGTATTCGTTTCTCTTGGACGATAGTCGAGTATACCTTCGTCAATCGAGGCAACGGATCCTGGGCGAGGAGATTCGATCAGACCGTTCCATAAACAACATCATCAAGCCCTAAGAGAAACTGATGAATTTTTTCTTCCTCCACTTTGCGCTCAGCCGCCGCCGCCAGATTACACGTACAGCGCCCACATGAACACACAGGAGCAGAATCATACGATGTAAGTTCCTCCCAGAGTTTCTTAAGACGAGCATAGTAGGCCATGATACTAAGACCCTTCTGTCGACAATTGGCCAGATCAGATTTAAGTTGTTGAATCCGCGACCCATTCACTAGTGACATAGAATCCTTGATATCAAGCCACAAGTCACGAGCCACCTCCATGTGAGAAATCGTAGAACGAACGGAGGGCTCAATCGTGTTCAAAATCCACGAAACAAGCAGTGAGTTTATAGTCCACCAATCTTCGGAATCCGGTGATGATTCGGCAGGCTGAGGAACAGAGCCATCGACAAAGCCGAATTTTTTCCGGGCTGCAAGGCGGTTCCCACAACTTTTGACCATTCGTCGTAGTTACTTTCGCCACGAAGTTGAACTTGGGTGATTACAGTGCCGGGAGAATCATTGGCGGTCAGATCATACGACGAGATCGTCTTGTGACGTACGACTGCTTCATTGCCGCCGATAGCCGGAGATGACTGTGCAGGGGTGTACTCGGCGTCTGTTTGAACCATGATCAGAAAAAAATGGAGCAACAGGAAGATGTAAAATTCATGCGATTGATACCATGAAACAAAAGGGAATGGAAGGAAGATTTCAGAACGGGGAATCTTCTCTTGCCCTCTTCTGTATTTTATTTAGGTTTATATAAAATGTTACAACAATGTTACAGTCTTACACTGGAGAAATCATCTCCGTAATATCTGCAAAATTAACTCTAGCTACGTAAATCAGCTCCGTAAATGAATCATTACATCAATTACACATATATACCATATATACATCCGCAATATTATACTCCTAATTTAAAAATACATATTTCAACTTGCTAACTTGTCCTTAATTTGCTTTAACAATGGATATATAGCGCAAAAAGAAATTGAAAAGATTAGACTAACTATTTGGGTGATTTAGAAAAAGGAAGGATAACATGTAACATTCGGACAAGAAGCCCTTTCCGACCATGGTGGGTGACGATCTCGAACTTCTTACTACTAGTTCACTTTTGTCATTTCTCAGGCATGTAAACTATTATTGCCCTCACAATGTTTACGCACATGAATATTTTGTACAGTAATTCTTTTTGCAGTTGTACGTATGTATATCTCTTTCGACAAACAATTAATACACACACACACAAATTCCAGTAATGTATCTGGATGCAAGGAATAAATATTTCAAGGGTATTAATTTTATCCCAAACCTCAACGAACTGATTTTGAACTAACACTATACTGTATACAACAGATAAAAATACCATTATTTTGAGACGGAACATTGTTCAGTACATGAGAAACGTAATAGGTGATGAAATATTGGAGAACAAACATAAAATTGAGTTGATGAGATGCCGTGACATGAATTAATAATAGACATCACTCCACTCACTTTTTTTAAATTTTGGAACTCTTTCTAGGTAGTATGGGCCGTAGGTGAGTAGAGCTATACTTAGGCTAGCTAGCTAGCTTTGTGATCCTCTCATAGTGCTTACGGCTATATCATGACTTTGACACCAACTTCTTCTTCTTCCCAAATAGTAATATTTCCCGTGCCTTCAAATACTTTTAAATTCAAAACCTCACATCACAAACTCTCTCTTCTCATCCTTGCATGTGACTTCCATCTTCATCCTTAATATCATCAAACCTTTCTTCTTCATCTTCCCAACCATCATAAACAATCTTATTTGTGTCCCAAAAGAAAATGATGCCCCATGATCGAGAAACTACTAGTAGTAGTATCACTGGCAATTGTCCATGTCCAACTAATGCATGTAAAGATAATATTAATTCTTCCCTTCACATTCATTCCATCAATCTAGCTAGCAATGTTAGCCCGTGTCTTGAAGAAGAAGAAGAAGATCAAATGCAAGGTCCACATGAAACAAGACGACAACAACAACAACAACAACAACAACAAAAAACCCCTGTTCGATTCTCAATTCTTCGCCAATCTTTACGACCCGTCACACTAAAGGTACATACACATTAATTATGATTGTTTGTATAATTAATCCATGTTTATAATGTCTTAATGGAGATTCGTTCTAAATCTTCTGTGTGACTAACGTGACAATCAATTATTAATTTATAAGTCTGTGGACTAACTTAACAATTTTTTTTTTATTTTCTTTTTTCTTTTTGGGGGCAGTTTGAAGATGTGGGCTACAGCATAACTTTGAAACAAAGAGGAGGAAATTGTATATCTTCATCATCTCATCCAAAGCCGAGTCGGGCTGTCCTGAATCGAGTCAGCGGAGTAGTCCGACCCGGTGAGTTACTAGCAATGTTAGGTCCATCAGGAAGTGGTAAAACAACACTACTAACAGCTCTGGCCGGAAGGTTACCCGGAAAAATCTCCGGCAAGATCACTTACAACGGCCTCCCATTTTCTAGTTCCATGAAAAGGAAAATAGGATTCGTTTCTCAGGACGATGTACTCTATCCCCACCTCACAGTTTTCGAGACGTTAACTTACGCTGCTTTTTTAAGGCTACCCAAAAAACTGACCCGGGAAGAAAAAATCGAGCAAGCCGAGTTAATCATCATGGAACTCGGACTGAACCGGTGCCGGAATAGTATGGTCGGTGGCCCTCTTCTGAGGGGAGTTTCCGGCGGTGAACGAAAACGGGTCAGCATAGGACAAGAAATGCTGGTGAACCCGAGTTTGTTGTTGCTGGATGAACCGACTTCCGGGCTCGATTCGACAACGGCGCAACGGATTGTTGTGACGTTGAGGTGGCTGGCGAAAGGTGGAAGGGCGGTGATCACTACAATTCATCAACCTTCGAGTCGGTTGTATACCATGTTTGATAAAGTGTTGGTTCTTTCTGAAGGCTGTCCTATTTATTATGGGAAGTCGGGTCTTGTGATGGATTATTTCGGTTCCATTGGATACATGCCCGGGTTCAACTACGTGAATCCTGCTGATTTTCTCCTTGATCTCGCTAATGGTACGCATTTTGCTCTCTTTCTCAAATATACTTGTTTCCGCTATTTGAAAATGATTATTTTTTATTATTGTGTCAGTTCAGTAAACAGAATAATTATTTTGGGACGAAATGAGTGATTAACTTGAAAGCATGATTGAAGTTAGTTTCATGATTATCTTTGTTGACAAGGACCTCTTTCTTTTTAAGGTGCATTATTTTTAAGAAATGTGATATTGCGATGTGTCTCTTACAATAGCTATCAGCATTCATTCCAAAGATGATGTTTCATTATTATTTTACTTTGTTGCAGCAAGCGAGATTCTATTTTAAACCTAGTCATCCATGCATGATGATAATCATAGTGAATTTGTACGTAAAAATACAAAATTAGCAGTCACATTCTTGAAAAATGTGACGCATGATGAAGAACGATTGTATCATTTTCTGAGTCATTTTACTAAATCATCGGGAAAAAAAAAGATTCTACATATGTGTCATCATTTCTAAGGTAATGATCCGTTTGTCAAAGAGACCGACGTCAATAAATCCTGCTATTTTTAACTTTCACACTAAAGCTAGTCACTTTCTCGTTATTTTTAGGCCTTAAAAAGCTTCTTTTTTTTTCAGTAATTCTTTTGCATGTTCGTCTGCTTTATAATGCACTTAGGAGATGCCATCTGTCTGGTTTGACATCTTCCACCATCTAAGCAAAATATCTAACACTGCTGCTTATTGAATTTCTTCTCTCAAACAATTTCATCAAAAAAGTTTGCAATTATGTGCAAAATGCTTTGCATTCTTTACACTGTCTCATTGTCTGCAAACAGTTGGAAAACTATTTTTTTTTTCCTTTCCTATCTGACTCGTGTCAGTCTAAAAAGCTCCATGAAATCGATTAGGATTTATTTCTAGATATTGTGTCTGCTATATGGACCTCACTTAGTCACTTTATGGCCAAACTCTGTTGGAAGATGAAGTAGTTGGAACTAAAAATTCTCTCGTATTTGCCGATTTTGGTTGGACCCAATATCTCTCCTAATAGAAGAGCTTTGGCCATCTGAACTAATAATCATTAAAGGAGTGGAAAGATCCAATGGTCTACAGGATTGACCTAAGTTTAGACAAAATGAACAATCCAATCCACCAATTAAACAGTGTTCAAAAGGGTCACTAAAATCAGTAATGGTCATGTCGCACATATTTACGGAGATGGAATAATAAATTTTCGCATAAACAGATCTTAATTAAAATGTACTACATTTTATTATCATGCGGGTGATTCTGATTATTGAGATACTCTGAGAAATAATTTGATTGATTTGGATTGCAGGGGTGGTTCCTGATACTAGACAGGATGATCAAACAGAGTTTCCAGGGAGACCAGAACACAACGATGACAAAAATGCAATTAGACAGTTCCTGGTTTCCTCTTATAAGAAGAATCTGTATCCTGCCCTGAAAGACGAAATTTGTCGAACTTCAATCCAGGCACTTGCTGCTGATCCTGCCAGAGTAGCATCCCCAAGAAGTATGGACAACAATTGAAAAATCAGAGTTTCTGTCCCGAAATTATTGTCCAGTTTGTAACAATAATTTCGGGACAGAAGGAAGTACATTGTTTTCGGCTTTGTTACATTTAGTTGCAAATAATAACTGATGTGTTTGAGTAATTCTTTGTACAGATTATGATAATCAATGGACCACTTCTTGGTGGTTGCAATTCAAGGTTCTTCTGAGCAGAGGACTTAAAGAAAGAAAGCATGAATCTTATTCAGGACTTAGAATTTTCCAAGTTATGTCTGTTTCAATTCTTTCAGGACTCCTGTGGTGGCACTCTGGCACCATCCACATACAAGATCAGGTAATTAATTGATCCATCAAGAATTAACAACATTTGATGAATCTTTTAAATCCTAATCACTGAGCCAGTAATAATGGATGAAATGAAATGGCAGGTGGGACTACTGTTTTTCTTCTCAATCTTTTGGGGATTCTTTCCTCTGTTCAACGCGATTTTCGCGTTCCCACAAGAACAACCAATGCTAAAAAGAGAACGTTCCTCGGGTTTATACCGCCTTTCTTCATACTATTTCGCCAGAATGGTCGGCGATTTACCAATGGAGCTAGTTCTTCCGACCATATTTGTGACCGTAACATACTGGATGGGTGGACTAAAGCCTTCCCTGACAACATTCCTTTTGACCCTTTTAATCATTCTTTTCAATGTGTTAGTCTCACAAGGATTAGGACTAGCACTTGGAGCCATTCTAATGGACCTAAAACAGGCAACCACACTTTCCTCTGTTATGATGCTTGTTTTCTTACTCGCAAGTGGTTACTATATTCAGCATATCCCGCCTTTCATTGCTTGGCTGAAGTACATGTCTTTTAGCCATTTCTGCTACAAACTGCTTGTTGGGGTGCAGTATTCTGAGAATGAACTTTATGAATGTGGCGCCGGCGGCGTTCGTTGCCGGGTGATGGATAATCCGGCCATCGAGTTTCTCGGTATCGATGATATGGGCGGCTCTGTGGCGGCGTTAGCTGTGATGCTAGTAGGATATAGGCTAATTGCATATTTTGCTCTGAGGTTAAGGCTGCCTCAATGATGGTAGTGATGGTCTTCTGATTTCAAATGTGTATTATATATAGTTAGTCTTGTTTACTAGAGAGGCATAATTATTGAACTTAAATTTATTCCAATTAATGAAAATGGCCATGTTATTTATGGCTTTCACATGCATCAACTATTTATGATTTTAGATTGATGGATATCAACTTTGTCGTAAACATAGTACTTCTTCTGTCCTAAAATTATTTTCTAATTATAATTTGAATTAAAAATAAAAATCCAATCTAGACAATTAGGAAAACCAGCTATTTAAAGAATATAAATCCTTCTTAACTTAGACTGGAACAACGACATGACTTGAGATATATATACTCTACCCTAAGGCGGCGATATTACTGCAGCTTTCATACCGAAATTTTTTTCCCCATCTTAAAAACAATTATCATGTTTAAATTTTCATTTCTAATTCAATTTATTCTAAAAATAGAAATTCAAACTAAATAATTACTTCGGAACAGAGAGAGTACAAAACAAAAACTAAAAGACAGTCATTCTTCACCTAAGTTGTTCTACATAATGCCATGGCGGCATGGTGTTGAAATTTGTTCTCATGTCCACAACTTGGAAAAAGGGTTTAGAATAATCCATCTCTGTCTAACCTGTGTGGAAAAAGAAAAAAAATAAAGCAGTATCAGATGCAACCTCATCTTGAGTTATTCGATCCCTTTTAAATTATGGAAGTACTACTTGTGTTAGTAATATTCTAAATTCTTGTTCTTCATGAGTATCCCCTTTGCAAAATAATCTATATAAACTACTGTTTTGGGGTAGATAAAATTAAACTTGAGCCCCTTGCAAAATATAGTTTGAGAGATATTTCACATATTCACTAAAGAAGCAAAATCAAACTCCTGTTGATCAAAGATGGCATCACACAAGGCTGAGAAACAAGATGCTCCTCCAGCTCAACCAACTGCAGGGCACTCCCAGAAAAATACTCCTTCAAAGACAACTCCGAAGAAGTCAGAGCCTAAACCTCAGCAGACTAAGAAGAAGGTAAGAAAATGTAAATTGTTTTCCCGAAAATGTAAATGTAAATTAAGGTGACAGTGCACTAGATAATTAAAATTAAATTTGTCGTTCGAGTTATTTAACAACCTAAAATTAATAGCACTTACTAATTAGAAATGACCAGCAAGTTGATTATAATTCTATTTTGATTGTTTGTAGGTATCAGCTGCCAAACCTGCTGCAAAGAAATAAGAACAAGGCGGAGTGATTGAATCTCTGTGTACTTATTATGAAGAATAAGTAGTAAAAGTCAGTTAATTAAAGGTATAGATTACTGCTGGCTGTGTCAGAGATTCATCCAAGTTATTCAAGCACTAGCTTGTAAACTGTATTACGTTTTATGCATGTAACCTTTCTTTTTGCTCTTTGGCTTTAGCCAAATGTTTAATCTACATAAAATCTTATTGTAATTCTTCCAGTTTACTTAGTTTCTCTTTTTTTTGGTTACATATTTTGTAGTCCAAAATCATGTTTAAGAATCGATGAAAAGCAACCTCGAACAAAAATCTAGTATGAAACGAATTTGTTACGATGCAAATTACCTTGACATTGAGGACTTCAAAGATGGCAACAGTTCATACGAAAGGAAGATTGGGCATCAAACTAGTAGCTGCTTGTACGTGGTTGTAATTAACATAATAAAATTAATTAGAAAGAGCTTTCAATTAAACATTGCCTCGACTTCTCTTAATTGACAAACAAGTCATGAAACTCAGTTCTTATAACGTGCATGCATGGGTTTTCTTGAGGAGACAAGCTTTTTCCCCTTTTTAAAATAAATTAATGACCGATACTATTTTAAAATAAATTATAGTTAAAGATGCTATATACAAGTGTTGACCAGATATTATGTTGCCAAATTTTCAAATTGTACATTTAAAGATTTCCGTGACTTTATTATGTATTCTTTTATCACAAAACAATATTGTGTTGTTCTTTCTCAAATCCAAAATAATAGTTTAAGAGTTGTTTGGGATGAAGGGAATATAACAAAGATATATTGTTGTATTATGTACTTTTCCCAATAAAAATTGGACAATAGATACTTGGCTCCGCAATTGTAACATAATGAAAAAACTCTATTTACTATATCATTTGATCATATTTTCTAGATACAAATTTGAATTAACGACTATAAGGACTTGACTCCGTCATTGTGAGATAATAGTAAATCTCTATTTACCATCCGTTCCAATCTTATTCACAAGGAATTTGCTCTTTATAAATAAGAACGAAGAGAGTAATAGATATAGGTATACTATTATGTTACGATGGTAGTGCCAAGTCCTTATAGTCTCTGTAGTGCACGTTGGTCCAAACTTGTGACATAAAAATAAGGACCACATTGACTAATATAGATAAAAATGTTACAAGATTTCGTATTATTATTATTTTTAGTACTAGAAGTTCGAAAGGCATGCAAGTGGCAAGGCATCATTTTTAATCATGAAGAATGAAATATTTGTAGAAAATGATGGACATGTATATGCTCTCCTATATTATTGGAGAAAATAATATGTATTCTTTCCCCACAATGAAATCGCATATGATCAAAATGAACCTCTAGAGGATATGCATATATGCCAAAAAAAATCAGAAAGCTTTTTTGCTCCATACATGAATCCGATGCTATATTTGAAGCTGAGATTATACCATTCTTCATAGCCACTAGTTGGGAACCATTCCCTTGAGCTGCATTAAAATATATACTTTATTCGTATTCTTATAGTTCATATATGTATAAATGTGGCTCGAAATTAATCTAATTCCTCAAAGGCTATAGTTTACCATTTTGTTTGTAAGAAAACAATACAGGTGAAATATGGCATCATTGAAGGCGGAAAAACCAGTGGGTTCACAACTATTTGGGCAGGTCAAGAAGGATGCTGCAGCCGCCTCTAAGGCTACTCCTTCTGGCTCCAAGTCATCTGCCAAGAAGTCCGCTGGCTCCAAACCTGAACCTAAAAAGAAGGTTTATAGTTTTATTCTCACTAATTACTTTTTGCCCCTAAACTTAATATTAGTCTTTGTGATTAATTATTAGAGCTTTTTGTTTTTTCTTTTTTCCAAATGGCATCTAAAATTTATGATTGACGATTAATTAATTTAACGGTCGTACAATGAAGAATGGCGCTATCAGTACGAAAAGAAAAATCTATTTTGTTAAATTAAAACAGTACAACAAAGTAAATTATTTTTCTGGTTAGAGGATTACGTATGGAAACATCATTTGACAAATAGTTTACTCCTTTCGTCAAAAGGGAAAAAAAAGGCGTTTTCTCGTACCAATATAACCTTTTTCTTGTGGAAGAAATCATGTTCTTATGAATTCCATACTACCAAACTAGCACATGTTGTCATTACTGTGAATTTGGTCCAGTGACTCAGTATTTTCTTGGTTCTACAGGCTAAGGTGGGAAAATCAGCTTCCAAGCAGTAATATCCCATTCTACACTTAAAGCAAGTGAAATGATGTCTTCAACTGTATCATCTAGTTTTCCCTTAAAACTTTGAATTTGTAAACGTGGACCTTGTTCCCTTCCTTTGTTTTTACTGATTTTGAAATCAATAAGCTAGTTTGGACCAATTCGCATTGATATTATCATTTTAAAGTTTACAGTAATTTCAACCTGAGAACATAAATGCGGTAAACTTTTTTCTGAGGATTTCAGCCTACAGGGGTTAAAAACACACAAATGCTGCAAATTAGCGCAAAAATCTTCACGTGAACGCTTTCCTATACTATCGAAGTTTTATAGAATTTATTAAAAAGGTATAGAGAATTCGATGTGTAACTTGGATAATACATCAAAGACAAAGACTTATATATATTAACGAACATTAAAGGTGCTTTGTAGTCCTAATTAAGACCATATATATTGCTTAGTCACCCACTAATTAAGTTTACTACGAGTTGGGGAAAGACTTTTGGCAATTCCACCACTAGCTAAGACTTCAAATATAACACGAGTTAAACTATTTTGAGTGTTATATATATAGTGCAATTCAGAACACATGAACTAAAGAAAAAAAAAACAATGGCTCGGAACACAGCTACTACTATCCGAGTTGGTTGTACAATTTTGTTTACGGGCTATTATTCTCTTCAATTCCTACCAATCCTCGGTTGCTCGCTCGTTAAAGCCCCCTATGGATTCGTACCACTCCGTTGCGAATGGGAGCGGCATGAGGTAATTAATATCTTCTCTATTCTAAATTACTTATCATTTGTGAATTTATTCTAATACAAGTTGGATTGCCTTTCCACATATAATAAATTCTTTCGATTTTTTCATCTTTGCACAACAGTATACCAAAACCCAGTTCTCCTGGCGGTCCATATCGATAAAGTTATTGCAATTACGAGAAAAGATAGTAAGTTATTGCAATAGTTTATTGTATGGTGGCTTTATATGTTTTTTTTTCACATCTTATCCTTGGTGGAAAAAGAAAAAGAAAAAGAAAAAGAAAATTGCTATCAAAATTTAATTATTCTTTTATAAAAATAAAACATACAGGTCTCAAACTTACCACTTGATTTCTAACTTAATGGCATACATAATTATCTTTCACTGCAACGGCAATTACAATATGAGAAAACTGATTATAAACTTTCTCAGAACGAGGTAAAAGTAATAGATATTTAAAAAAGACTGTTCGACTTTTTTTTTCCCTTTTTTTTGCCATATTTCTTTTTATTGAATAAAATATTACCGTTCAGCTTATTTAATAGAGTTGTGTATCCAAATATAATAAAGAACCAAAAACTAATATTGGTGAGCAAGTAGCAAAAAGAAGAAGAACAAAAGAACTACAAAATAATCTTCAAAAAGTTGTCAACCTCTTCTCTATTTATTATTCCATGTACTATAATATTAAAGTACATTAATGATAAATTTACTATATATGCTTATGTACATTGTCACAATCTTCTAATACGAATTATTATCATCATCTTCTTCTTCT